AACAGTACTAGTTTCAGCAAAATATCAGTATTTATGTGGGCGTTTTGTATTGCATTCGCAATCGAAGAAAGGAGTCTAGAAATGAGCCCAAACAGAGCAACTGACCGCAATACATGGAGAAACGCATGCTATTACGTTCACGGTAGAAAAATATTACTATTATTTAGGAAATTGAAACAACGGCCAAAAGTGTTACCGTTTTCCTTGGCCTCACGGTGAAAAAATGCAAAATGCACAGAGATCCGTCAAAGGAATGCAGTATTAAAGCACTTCTTAAGGAGGTAGCTTTTTAAGAAAGTCTTCTTATTGATTGACGGCATATGTGTTGTTGACTTTCGTTTTAGACAGACATGTTTTCGAAAATGAAGTTAAATGTTTGGATGAGTCTTGACATGTGACTCAATAGACCTTCTTTATGAAGTGGAAAAACCAAGCAGCCTCTATTTCAGTACATGCTTTCAAGATTTATCCTATTTTACAGTTTGTAACAGAGAGGTAATTCGGAATTTGTAGTCAAGGACGATCAAGTGAGAACACAGAAAATCACGAAGTATTTAGGAACATTTCAAGCCCGATCTGAAACTTATCGTAATCCAAAACGAACAAAAAGTGCAAATTAATTTAACGGAAGAAACGTTCTATCTAAAAACACAAAATGGTCTGTTTACGATCGCGATTGTCAGTTCTGTTTAAATTTCTAAGGCACCAATCGGCCTGGATTATGTCACCTTATGAAAACGTTTTTTCCTACGACGTCTCTAGCTGCGGAATCAAGCTAAGTCCGTCTTCTCTTGTTAAGCTCCATTTTATTCAACTCAAATAACTCAAGAATACCACGAATTTCTGGAAAGATGTTTTGCAATTTATCCTTAAATTGTGGGCTGTTGACAAACCACCCTATGTGAAATTGCTCCAATTCTCAAACGATATTAAGATGACAAGTTCACTAAAACACTATTATCAAACGCTATTTTATTTGTACCTTCATATTTACTACGTTTTGGGCGCGAGAATAAATTCTGTACACCTACAAAAGAAGATTACTAAATAACAGCCATTGCTGGTCTTTTATAGATATTGCGATTTTCTAAAAAATATCGGCATTTTCAAACAGAGCAATACCACTTTTAATATTTCTTTTATTTTTAATGCTGCCAAACTTGCACTTACTTAACATAAATATTGGATATTTAAAATGGTGTCGGTTTGCAAGTGATTGGCAATCATTCGTAAATTTGACATATTTAATGAGTTTGGTCACCCACTGTATTTGCTACGAAAAGTTTTAATTTAAAAATTGATTGGAACGCTTAAAAGGCTTGGGAGTGGCTGGCTGATGACGGCTAATAAGCCAGAAATGGCCATTCCAGTCTCCCTTGTCTTTGTCGGTAATATCATTCTGCCTATATATATATATATTGACTGAATTCTCATCCAAGGACCATAATTGAAGTTATTATCGGTTTATCTTTCCTGGTTTAGACAATAACCTTATTGGCTGGGAAGTTAAACTCGTGCCTCTTTTTGGAGGTTCGGGCAATCACTTATGATAACACGTCACGCCGCTGCGGAGTCAGAATCCGTTAATGTGCGGTCCCGCCATCCGTTTAGGCGCGGGATACGGTAAAATTAACCCGACCCCTCCTTTTGCTTTTATCTGTCCTTGATTTTCATGACCCTGCTGCACATAGTAGCCTTGGGCCGGTAAGCAATAATATGACCCTTCGCTTCTGAACGCCGTATGTATATGTCAAAGCATGCCCAATCCTCGGTGGTGTTTCCGCTTGGGTCCTTAGAGGACGGACACATGGGCTTTGGTTTATGAACGCCCTCGGGTAGCCATCCCACATAAACTGGTCGTGAAGATACCAGGCGTCATGCGCCTTTTCTTCCGGTGAAGCTAGATGGGTTTTAATATTGCTCGCACACAGCATCGTTTGGGAGTCACCGGATTGTTTCTGCAAGAACTGGGGATCTGCTTGGTGTTCGTTGTTGTCCTTCAAACCGTTGTCTCTATTTCTTTGTTAAAATCTTTGTCCGACAAACTAATCAGAGAACTGATTGAAGACTGAACCTCAGGTAGGTTCTTTCGAACTCGTGCAGGAGGCCGTCGTCAGGGTCTTGAGTCGCAAAATAGCAAATGACAGTTCTAGTTGACAAATGAGATGGGTTCATCGAAAGAGGCTTTTTTGGAATGCTGACGATACGGGGAGCTTGGTCGGCCCACCATTATCGGACAGAAATGGAAGTGGTATGGCGCACTGTTCGGCTTCACAGTGATCGAGTTTTCTTCCTCTGCTTGCCTTGGGCTTTCGGGGGATGTTTGGCGAGCATTTCAGCTACGTGCATTGTGAGTCATCACCTCGTCGGTATGGAGGTGATTGAGTCTCCGTTGTGGTCGGCCGGTCGGGCGGCTCTTTTATTCCTCGTCGGATGGGCTCTCTGCGTGGTCTTCTTAAATTCTGTTTGGTCTTCTGGTCCTGATTTTTAGGAACGTAATGACAGGCCGATCATTGACTAAACAATCAAACAGAATTAGCAACTACAATCATGAGCATATCATTTTGTGACTTTTAAGAAAAACAATCTTTCATATGATTAAGGTTCGGCTTTGTGGACGGTGTAGATTGCTGAGTTTTAGAATGTCCCTAAATAGCAATGACCACTGTACGGTTTCCAGTGTTCCCAATCAACTTACAACAACGATAGGTTCTGTGCTGTGCGCTTAAGGTACCCTTCAAAAAACAAAGTATCTTTAAGGCATTTAACAAAGTCGTCAGATTACGGTCAGTCACCTTTGCGCAGACGGTTGTTTAAGTTTCATTTAGAACGAAAGAACTTTGACGAAAAGAACCAACGTTCACATTGATGTCCGGCAGCAAATATACTCTTGACTGAACAAAATCCTACACTAAAAATCAGCCAATTTAAGTTGCGCTTTGATGCGCATTCTGCTGACGGATGAACACGTTCTTTACCCCTACTTTTAACCCTTGACCCAAATCCATAACCCTTACCCCCAACCCTAACACCTGCTCCTAACCCTGAGCCCTAAACACTAACCCCTGCGTATATTATGTCCGTCAGATGCGGCCACATAACCAAATCTTACCAAATTTTCAAATACTCAGATTTGTACGTCCATATTTATAGGCGGAATGGTATTACCGACAAAGACAAGGGAGACTGGAATGGCCATTTCTGGCTTATTAGCCGTCGTCAGCCAGCCATACTCAAGCCCGTAGTGTAGAAAACCCGAGCCTCGAACTCGCGACCTGTTGGTTTAGAAGTCCACGCCTCTACCCACCGGGCCACGAGTCCGTTGCCCCGTCGGTTGGGCTCGAGAGAGAGAGCCCTTAAGCCACAACGGAACGAGTGAGTTCCGTATGTATGATCAGCGAGCGCCCCCTACCATTATATATATGTATGGCAGTGGGCTCTACCATACTACAAACATCGATACTAGCTAAAAGCTTAACCCATATTTTGCTGATGGTCCCTATTCTGCATGACACATCTGCTAGTATTTCAGCTTTCCAGTGAGTTACTCAACGTATTATTTGCACTTTCCGGTGTATGACCTCCAGAGCATCATTAAGCTAATAATTTGGGGAGTCAATTCAGGGAAGGACGAGGCTTAAGGTTTCAGGGATATGGGCTTTTGGGTCGGTCCAGTAATTGTCATGAAAGATGAATAGACGTTTCATCAGTAAGCAAATCCCAGTTTTTCATGATCGATTCGAATATTAAAACGTAGTAGTCTTAGGAATAAGACTTTAATCGGATCGACTGCATGGCAGTCACTATCTTCGGACTAGTACTAAATTTGATATGTGGCATCATGCATCATCAATGGTTGCGGCATAGACATAACATCAAAATTCTTGCAATATGTCTGTTGGCCCGCCAGTTATTCATCCTACAGACAGCGTGTACAAAGATGTGTTCAATGTGAAGGCTCAAGAATATTACTTCGGTAGGGTCGTAATATTAATAACCTTGCAGAATTACCCTATGATAATCCAATAACTTTTTTTCTCCTGAACCCTCCAAACCATAAAATCCACCATCAACTATATTTTTATTCCTCAGGAGTTTTTTGTCAAATGCCGGTCGGATTTGTGTTTAATCGCTTCCTTTGACAATGCCTGTAAACTGGCATTTAATAAATTAAATTAAATTAAATTCAGAGTGCTGCATTTTGAAATAACTTCTATTCGGCCGACTGCAAATGCCAAACTGTATGGAAAATGACTAATTATATGGCATGCAATTTTCTCACTGATGTTCGATGTCCCTAAAAATTGAATTAGTTAACTAGTTAGTTTATTAATTTCCCGTGCACGGAAAATTATACAATTCTCGCAGGTATTTGGAGAAGACAATATAGGCGTTCATAAAAGTTACCTGTGGATTTGAACACATTGTAAACTTTAAAGCAACAGACTTAGCACATCTAGTGTAGTCCTAAATGACTGACATGTCTCTCAAAGACAATGAAGTTGCTCGTTATCACCCTTTACCCAAATTTTTCTACGGACATTGTCATGGAGTACGGTGACAAGCTAATGCTGAAGCACCTGACTGCCGCATATTAACTGAGTCAGCCGTATCTCTCGGACTCAGTGGATAATCAAAATGTTTCTACTAACGAGAAAAATACACTAAGAATGAAATTGCCATCGCACGAGCCAGTCGGTCAATAGGCGGACTTGTTAGCTCATCCATCGATCTGCGAGTTCATACACAGCAAAGGTAGAATGCACAATGCATACCGCCAATTTGCTCCTTCAACCAGACAATCGCGGGGTTTTTCAGGCGCTTACTAGCGTCCGTTCGCTGTTTCCAGTTGCATGATTCCCCGCGTATGTACGACAAAATAATGACTTCTTGGTGAATATTTTATTCTTCTACACCTCTGTATGACCACAAAACATCATGTCCCACACCAGTATATGGCGGATCTTTTTCTATTTGCCTTGGAATAAAGAATATCGGCATTAGAGACATTGACGCAGTCTGCATTTCTGTCCACGGCGACATTTCGAGCAGGCGTTGCCCTTCTTGTACGGCTCATCGCCTATCCAATTTCCTCTGAAATTTAGAAGAAACAGCGGAGTCATTAATTGAACTCGGAACTCCATTTTGTAATGTATCGTTTCGCACACTTCGCTTTGCTAGGCTGATTCAATTAAATTCCAGAATGAATAATGGAATAAAGATAACCAACGGATTCCTAAACTGCGCATCTTTATCATACAACACAAACTTTCCAATTTGGCTAGAAAATCCATGGCTAGAACATTGCTTTCTGTTATTGCGCAGGGCACTAGAGCAAGAAATTTGGGTCAAAACACCGTGAATGCCGTCGACCCAGGATCTTTGAGCAAACAATATGAAATAAAGTCCCAAATTTGCTCGCCTCTTGTGCAAATGGACTTTCAGTTTTAAATGTGCATTGGCATTCGTCGTCGCGACAGAAATCTTAGATTATCAATGTACACGATTTCCTCCATTACCAATACACGTGCTTTCGTCCTTTTATTTTCCTAGTCACAATTAACTTCCCATGTCTCCGGGAACAGGATCTTCTGCTGCTCTGACAAGGAGGCAACATGAGTGCATTTTAGGCGAAGTGAGACCACAGCATAATATGTAATGCGAAAATGCGTTCACTGCGAATCGAGAAGCATTGTCAGTAAAGGCATAGAGGACTGAATTAAGCGTTACCGATTCCCAGCCAGCTTACCAGTCCAATCAGAAATAAAAACGGACGAGACTACATCTGCTGGCGATGCTCAAATTGGGGTGGGATTCCAAATAACACTCTCGTGTAAATTACTGCAACGTTTGCGAAACTAATAAGGGACAATTATATAACTTTTAATATGTCGTATTAGCATTGCACTACACGGTATGCAAACAAACTTTCAAATGTGCAAAGGGCTTTAAACTGCAAGAAGGCCAATTGTTCAACTTTGCTGCGTTAGAGAAACCCAACTTACCTGGGATAGTATTGGCATGCCCACAGGTACGTCTTCATGCCGAATATGTTGTCACATCTATTGTAGGCACAGCCTACTTTGGTTGTGTTTGCCCAAATCATCTACAGTGGGCCAGACAAAAAATAACCTCCCTGAGACAAATCTTGCGGCGCAGCCTGTCGTGATTTAGAATATCAACGAAACGGAAAATTTTACAATTAACAAAAATGATTTTTTACATGTTGAAAATTCTGCCAAAGAAATAAACGTACCGCAGTGTAATGGGTGCAGGGTTGTTTCAAGCAGTAATTTTCCTTACCGAGATAATCCGCTCTCTCCGCATACCACAGAGTCATTGCAATGTGTAGACTGTCGAGGGGATCTCGATTTCCCGCAACCGCCAGATTCTGCCCGTACGGCTTATATCTTTCCGACGTTGGGTGTTCGTACACACACTGCCTCACCCACTCCTCAGCTAGTTTTTCCAATTTTTTGTCGTAGGTCTAAAGGCAAATACGAACGTCAGAAATGTTCCTCTAAGCAATGACCTGTCGCGTCTATTTGGCATTTCGCATTGAGCGTCTTCACTTACCATTGTCTGCATGTCTGCCGCGCCGGGGTACACGGACTTCCTGGCCAGATTGTGATATTCCATGATGATATTGATGTAGGGCTGAGGGAGCTCCAAGCTCATTGCGACAAAGAGCAGTAGCAGTGCATGAATTACTAGCATCTGTGATTGCATTTCTCTGCAGAGGAAAAAAAATTTTTCAATTAGGATGATCAATGCTTAATCAATTTATAGTTCACAACGCGAATTGATACTCATTTCTCAGGTTCTTCTGAAGGTTATTGCAAGTTGGCATTTCACTTCTTGTTAAGATAAGAGGGGTAAGACGCGTTTTCCAAAATGGACTCCTGCTATGATAGTAGTGTTTAACTGACACTTATATTAAAATAAGTATACGGATTTTAATGCTGATAATCTGTGTCCATGGTTCTATCTAGGTTCAATCGAGATACTCATCGATTCTGAGTTAATAACACAAAGATTCTCTGCATTTTTTAAAGTCTGAGTGCCTGCTATATTCGCGAAGTAATATAGCAACTCAGAGTAGCGTTAGTACCCTGTTCTTTTGAACCTATTTTATGATAAATACGGGCTAAGTCCGTTTGAATTATTACGGCTAAAATCAACTTCTGATATTGCTTCGGGGCCTTTACACTATAATGAGCGAGAAAAAATTAAATTAATGTTTACTCGCCGGATAAGGTTTTCTGTTTCCGACTCATCAAGAAAGATACTTCTCCCTGTGGTGATTGTTTCAATAGACGAATGCATGCTGATATATATATACCACTGAAATGCCAGTTATAAAAATGCTTAGGAGGTTTTGCAATTACATTAATCATGCGCGCTGATTTTCGCACTTTTATGGGACTGTCAACACCTGTTTTTCGCTGTTTTGTACAGCTCAGACGTGGGAAGAAATGTTTTCATCAATTAAACAAAAACTATTGATTTGTCAGAGATAGGAGACATAAAAAATTGGTTTGTGCTCAGAAAGTACTTATTTCTGCTGTATGCTCCAAAGTCAACTAAACCCCTTCAAATCCTAAAACAATGATTTAGGCGAAATTAAACGTTAGCTTTCACAAAAAGAAGTGAAGTCAATCTGACTCCGCTAAAAAGCTATTGAATTGCAGCCGCCGTTGCAAGATGCATGAAAAATAAAGACTACAACTTCAGGGAAGATATTACACAAGTAGCTTCCAGATTCTAACTGTCAACATTATTTAAAAGAATCAGAAATTTCGAAAACATATTTTATATCGTGGCCCCCTGTTCCGTGAGCATATACATAACAAATTTATTTCATCAGTACATTTTTGAAATTGGTCAATTATCTCCGATGCCCGAAGGGGCCTGCCATCTTCAGTGATTTGTTTTACTGAAAGCTTTTTAATGTTATTAGATTAAATGTTCGAGCTAGGTTATTTTTACTATTTTATTCTATTATTAGTGGAACTTAGTTATTAAACCCCTGGGTGAATACTACGCACTTTAGTATGTGGTTTAGATGGGGAGATGGGACGACAGAACTTGAGATGGTCATATTGAAGTCCTTACTTTGTTACTCATTTTCCTTATTTACCTATGTACATTTGGAAATTATCCTTTTGTCATACTGAAAAAATGTCGTGGTGTCAGTGAAAATATTTTTGATTTAGGGCGGAAATTTATGTTTTCATATGCGTGTGTAATACTCTATGCTAACGGATGTTCTAGATTACGTTTGTGCAGACATGCGTGATTATTGAGGAGAGTAAATTACGCTCAAAAACGTCTGCTAAACAAAATTTGTCAAACTATATATTTTGGTTTTATCTTCAGCCTAGATCAGGTAGTTTAGGATATTGAATTCAGTCTGTTAGCACAAATCCGGACGTTTCTTTGGCTTGTAAATCCGTGCGGTCTCATGTTCTTAAAAATGTTTAAGAAAACTATGCGCTGTCCGTTATTAAATGTATAGATATTTTCTTGTTATTTACGAATGCTTCACATTTTGTCGCGAACAGACCTCTTTCAAATCAATTATGTTTACATCCACAACACGGCAGGCAACTTTTTATGGCCCAGGTTCTGCTAATATGTAGTTAAGAGGCAGACAGGACGGAACATTGGCCGTTTGAGCAATTTCTTAGTAGTCTCTTTTAAAGTTATGAAAATCCCCATCACTATGTTGTGAAGTGACAGTTGCGAGTGAACGTTCCTTTCGGTAAATTCTCATCAGGCCAATTCAGTTACATAGGGCGGGGTGCAGTGAGTGAAACAAAAATCGATAAAAGCTTGGTTTTATATTACAGGCTCGGCAAGAGCGGAAGGGCGCCGAAAGTTGTATGTGGTTAGTCAACCTTTGACCACGGTAAGCGAGGAGACTGTACAAGGTTCTTTTGGGCGCATAGGGTCGGTTTTCGTAACCTTATGGCGGCCGCTTCTGCTGTTGCTAACAGGTGCTGGCCCAGTAGCTTAGGGTAGCTCGAGGGGACCTAATAAATCACACGAAATGCTTCAGTGGGGTCCACACGATGCCCTGAGTCCACTTTATGCGCAAGGATGGCGCTGTCTATTCTCCTAGTTTCACCCTTTGCCAGCCATGCGGGAAGGTGCTCTCGTATTCTTTTGGAAAGGCGCCGACTCGTACGACCAATATAACCTGCTCCACAGGACCAAGTGAATGAGTAGATGCACAGTGAAGCGGTCTGAGCTGGCAGCCTATTCTTGCCTTCTCCTAGTTTCACCCTTTGCCAGCCATGCGGGAAGGTGCTCTCGTATTCATTTGGAAAGGCGCCGACTAACTGTACCCAGCCCTATGTAGCTGTATTGGCCTGATGAGAATTTACCGAAAAAAACGTTCACTCGCCACAATCTCTTTTAACTCAATTTTTAAAAAACTCGGCTGGTTCGGCGGGATTGTGACCCACAACAAACGCGTTATTTACAATCTGCTGTTACATAAATTATTTGAGTGAGCATAGACATCGTCTGGTGAATTCTAGATTAATTACATAGAAAATCCTGCTAGAAAATTCAGGCTACTGTATCAGAATGGATGGACTCCAAACGTCGAAGAAGGCTGAGATAGCAATTTGACCAAAATGTGATTGACCACACGGTTCCCGGTGGGGCCTCGTTGTTTGGGTGATTGAAGTAGCGGTTGTATTTATGTCTAGACCTTATTATAGGGGATTCAAATTCCACCGAGGCTGTCAGGAGAATTCATAATCGAGTCACAATAATTATTCTGAATCTGGCAAAACACCTATTAATAAATTAGTACTTTGTAGTCACACAGCTATGTACTTACAATCGTTAAAACAGAACCCGTGTTAAGCAAAGACAGCAACACTAGCTCTTTTATGGAGAATAAAGTGAGCTCTTTCGTATCAAGGAAAAACAACAAGTATTTTTCAGGGAAGCGGAAAGAGCGGGCCAAAGTACCAATTTTGTCCTTAAATCTTCTTCCGAGAGGAGTAAAGAACGTGTACATCCGTCAGCAGAATGCCGCATCAAAGCGCAACTTAAATTGACAGATTTTTAGTGTAGAATTTTGTTCAGTCAAGGGTATATTTGCTGCCGGACATCAATGTGAACGGTGGTTCTTTTCGACAAAGTTCTTTCGTTCTAAATGAAACTTAAACGACCGTCTGCGCAGAGGTGACTGACCGTAATCTGACCACTTTGTTAAATGCCTCTAAGGGTTACTTAAACGCCCAGCACAGAACCTATCGTTGTCGTAAGTCGATTGGGAACACTGGAAACCGTACAGTGGTCATTGCTATTTAGGGACATTATAAAACTCAGCAATCTACACCGTCCACAAAGCCGAACCTTAATCATATGAAAGATTGTTTTTAGTAAAAGTCACAAAATGATATGCTCATGATTGTAGTTGCTAATTCTGTTTGATTGTTTAGTCAATGATCGGCCTGTCATTACGTTCCTAAAAATCAGGACCAGAAGACCAAACAGAATTTAAGAAGACCACGCAGAGAGCCCATCCGACGAGGAATAAAAGAGCCGCCCGACCGGCCGACCACAACGGAGACTCAATCACCTCCATACCGACGAGGTGATGACTCACAATGCACGTAGCTGAAATGCTCGCCAAACATCCCCCGAAAGCCCAAGGCAGACAGAGAGAGAAAAATCGATCACTGTGAAGCCGATCAGCGCGGCATACCACTTCCATTTCTGTCCGATAATGGTGGGCCGACCAAGCTACCCGTATCGTCAGCATTCCAAAAAAGCCTCTTTCGATGAACCCATCTCATTTGTCAACTAGAACTGCCATTTGCTATTTTGCGACTCTAGACCCTGACGACGGCCTCCTGCACGAGTTCGAAAGAACCTACCTGAGGTTCAGTCGTCAATCAGTTCTCTGTTTGATTAGTTTGTTGGACGAAGTCTTTAACAAAGAAATAGAGACAGCGGTTTGAAGGACAACAACGAACACCAAGCAGATCCCCAGTTCTTGCAGAAACAATCCGGTGACTCCCAAACGATGCTGTGTTCGAGCAATATTAAAACCCATCTAGCTTCACCGGAAGAAAAGGCGCATGACGCCTGGTATCTTCACGACCAGTTTATGTGGGATGGCTACCCGAGGGCGTTCATAAACCAAAGCCCATGTGTCCGTCCTCTAAGGACCCAAGCGGAAACACCACCGAGGATTGGGCATGCTTTGACATATACATACGGCGTTCAGAAGCGAAGGGTCATATTATTGCTTACCGGCCCAAGGTTACTATGTGCAGCAGGGTCATGAAAATCAAGGACAGATAAAAGCAAAAGGAGGGGTCTGGTTGATTGTACCGTATCCCGCGCCTAAACGGATAGCGGTACCGCACATAAACGGACTCTGGCTCCGCGACGGCGTGACGAGTTATCATAAGTGATTGCCCGAACCTCCAAAAAGAGGCGCGAGTTTAAGTTCCCAGCCAATAAGGTTATTGTCTAAGCCAGAAGAAAGATAAACCGATAATAACTTAAATTCTGGTCCTTGAATGAGAATTCAGTCAATATATATATATCGATCTGACTGTGACGGAGCTAGGTCGCTGCGTCGTCATTTCGAGACCAACGACCCTGCTCGCTGATTGGTCAATACAACCAACTGTTCTTCTCTGACG